TGCATTCTTCGTGTAAGAAAGAGGATAAATCATGTATATTATATGCACGTGTGTGCGATTAATTGTGCGTTTTTGTTTTAAAAATCTCCTTTTTTTTTGCCAACGGTATACGAGATGAACGGTTTCGATTATGTCACGTGATTATACGCGCGTTGAACAGGACTCGCGTCTTCAATCAACGCGCGTTATAAAGTACACAGAAGGTCCATTCAGCTTTAAGTATCTGATGTAGTGTACGTGTACGTGTATATTACGCATATTACGCGCGCATTAATTTAAGGCGATATCAACGTCAACGCGCGCGTAATGACGGAGCGCCGGTCGCGCTCGCATTCCCGCCCCCGCCGCAAGATGAGAGGGTTCCTTTCAAGAGAAGAGCCCTCTCTTTCTTTCGAGCATCCTTCCCGTACCCTCGTTCTACGACACGTACCTTCGTCGTCGCCGGCGCGCACCGAGACGTGACGCCACGAGGCGCGACTGCGACGAGACGAGACCGATAGGCGGCTACGAAGGGCGCCTCACGACCACAGAACATGTGCGTTACACACATACCTCCAACTGTGTACGCCGGTATACTTGTCACTGCGTTCTACAGGGTGTCCCGCAATTTGCGATCTTGACAAGTGTATCAACGACGAATTTTCCAATCGAAATTCCTCCCGATCGATCTTTCTTGAGTAAAAATATCAAGCTTTCCAATTTTTTGGCATTATATCCTTGAGACTCAAGTTGCAATTCCATGGAATTTCTTTCTGGAATTAGAAGGAAGAATGCGATTTGAATGCGACGTGTGCTTACAAATCGAGACTGTTTACGGTGAAAGAAGGCGACAATATGTCCATGTGCATTTTCAACCGGCTATATAAACAGTTTCTTGTAGACGCTAAACATTGAAGCTTGTGGTAATGTAGAAAGGAAAGGAAGCATGCATTAAAGCAGACAGGAAGGTAATTTCATCGCATATTCTCTCGCGCGTCTTCCTGCTTTAATATACGTGCGTTTCCTTCCCCTGCGTTACCACGAAGATTTAATATTTAGCGAATTGCGCGGGATCCCGTGACACACGAGGAAGGAAGCTAGTACTTTGTATTCTCGTCAATAATTAAATATATAGCTACTAGTACATGCGGCAGAAAACGTGACGGAAATTTCTGATTACTATATAGCAATACATATTTCTCCCTCCCTTTCTCTTTCTCCTCTCTCTCTCGCAAACGCAACGTACACATTTCACGAGCTTTTCTAATCGCTCTAACCGCTTATGTCATTACTGTATTTATCGAGGCTTGTTTGATAGAGAACCGGAAGTAAAAATGCCCATGTATTTTCCTGAAAAATCATCCTCAATATTTGTTTGACATTTACATGTTTAAAAAAAAATATGTATGTAATAATCGTATATATATCATATATATATCAACATATTTCGATTATTTTAATAAAATAGTTGTATTTGTGAGAAATATATTATTTCTAAAACTCAATACATATATATATATAAAGAAAAAGACATTGCGGCTAAAAATGGATTCAAATTATAAGAATTGAAAGTTTTTATGATTCCTTGATTAACAATTTTCATAATTGTTTTTCACTATTGTTTATTTGCTATTATTTACTATTATCCGCTATTACCTAAATGAATTTGATTCGAATGATCTATGTACTCGATCCAATCGGCAACTGAAGTTCCTTATTCATGTTACAAGAAAATACAGCAGGTATTACTGACAAATTAATGGGTCAAGGGGTTAAACGCGAACGTGCGCGCTCGTATCTGCCCGCCGTGACGTGAGCGTAGCCACTTCCGCAGCTGCGCACCGCGCGCGGTTACGTCGCGCGTCACGGCCGACATCCGGCCACGTTAAAATAGCCCGTTTGCCGGAGAAATCCTTGCCGCGATAGCTGTGCTGAGGTCGAAAAAGTGGAAAGAGCGCGCTTCTCGCACATCCTCATCAGTCTCAGAGATATTTTAAATGTGCGCGGATCAGTGACAGCCGCGAGAGCGAACTGACCGATTTTAAGGATGGATTGCTGGTCGGCCTGGCTGTTGCTCGTTTCCTTGCTCGGCACACTCCTGCTCACGGGCGGCGTCGAGTTAACCTTCGAGCTGGCCGACAACGCCAAGGAGTGCTTCTACCAAGAGATCGAGAAGAACGTCTCGTCCACGTTGGAGTTTCAGGTGCGCAAGCTGTCAAGCTGATCGCTGTCAATCACTACATATGTATAAATATATTTATGTCGCGATGACACATCGCTATTATCGACGATCAGATTGGAAGCCAGAGTTCGCGGCGTAATACGCACGACACTTAAACGTGGCTCCAAAATGAACGAACGAATGGGAAATAATGAGAATTTAATGTAATATGAATAATGTAAATGATGAATAGTGAGGAATGTCAGAAAGAAATATGCGAATATATAATGTGTGTGTGGGTTAATATAATGACGAATAACATTTTATTTCAGTAAAAACTTAGTCGAATCAATGTTAAATTCTGGCTCTGAGAATATGCATGTTATGACACATCGCTATTATCGACGATCAGATTGGAAGCCAGAGTTCGCGGCGTAATACGCACGACACTTGTGCGCGTGGCTCCAAAATGAACGAACGAATGGGAAATAATGAGAATTTAATGTAATATGAATAATGTAAATGATGAATAGTGAGGAATGTCAGAAAGAAATATGCGAATATATAATGTGTGTGTGGGTTAATATAATGACGAATAACATTTTATTTCAGTAAAAACTTAGTCGAATCAATGTTAAATTCTGGCTCTGAGAATATGCATGTTTAAAAATAGAAAGTGGAAAGAAACTCAGTGTAAAATAAACATATCTTATCTGAATGTTCTCTGTAGAAATTAAAGGAAAATTTTGCATGCCAAGTGAAAGCGGTAGCAGTTTTTTTTGGCACCGCAACTTCTCTTTCTATTAGATGTTATACAATTAATTTGGATAATAAGCTATGATTCTTTGAATTTTGGAAAATGATTTGCGTTGTTTCTAACAAGTATTGCTCTTGTATTTTTTAGGTGGTTACAGGTGGCCAATATGATGTAGATGTAACTTTAGAGGCTCCAAATAAGGAGATTATCTATAGTCAAGTGAAATCACAATTTGATTCGCACGTCTTTGTACCTACTATGTCAGGAATATATAAGGCCTGCTTCAGCAATGAGTTCTCTACATACTCGCATAAACTTGTGTATATGGATTTTCAAGTCGGCGACGAGGCGCCACTTCCCGGCCTTGGAGAACATGTCACAGTAATGACGCAGGTAAATTATTTTTGGCACAAACCCCTTTACAGTACATATCAATGAAAAACGATATTTCATGTCAATGTCCTTGCAGATGGAGTCTTCCGCACAGGAAGTGCACAAGAATCTAATCAGTATCTTGGACTATCAAACGCACCACCGTCTGCGCGAGGCGCAAGGTCGCAAACGCGCGGAAGAACTTAATGAACGAGTGCTTTGGTGGTCGATAATGGAGACAGCTTGCATTCTGTTCATCTCCGTGGGGCAGGTATTCCTTTTGAAGAACTTCTTTACGGATCGAAGTCCTTCTCAAAGTTATTAGTGTGATCGCGAAGTAATGGAAAAGGAAAAACTATCGAGGTACACGATCATCGATCGAATCGTCCTCGTAATGTCGTTTTTTTTTTCATCACCGGTCAAAGTGCCATCATAATGTCCGCCGGTAATATGTCAAACCTGCACGTTCTCTCAGCGGAACATTCAATCGCGAACCTTCTCTGGCAGCCTTTTCCGAATCTTTCGCTGAGGGAATTTCGCGATCAGAATCCAAAGAGCCGGTGAGAAGCACAAGGTGATCTACATCTTCACGCGTATCGTGAACGTATGCATCGTTCATGGATATTAGTTTATGCCGAGACTAAGGACATTTGCAACATGGGTGCTAATACAACTCGGAGCGATCAGAAGGGACAAGTGCAAGCAATAGAAATCTTACACATCCCCCTTCCGATGGAGACTCTCAAGTTGTACTTATATTGGCACAGAGACAGTATAACGGATACTGAAGGGGACATGGACATCATGTTTTTCTTACTGTGAATGTGTAACATAATAAATTAAAAAATACTTGTGTGTATTACGTTTGTATCGCCCAGCGATCTGATTAATTCCCGTCTTTCGTTATTTATCGCGCCTTCCATTATTTATCTTAAGCATCAATTAAGGTAGAAGTTACTTAAATAAATGAATTGACTATTTACTTATTTCTTTCGACTTAAAAGCGACGGTTCTATTCATTTAGAAAGTTTTTTTTCTATCTCTCGTTGTTAGCTATATGTATGAACATAAGAAATGTCTGACTGTAATTACAAGCATTCTCTTTTCATACGTGGCAGGTATCTTGTATGTTTTCTGCTGCGTGTGCATTATTTGATAAGCACGTTCACCAGTGTGGAAAACAGAACAAGTGACATCATTAATAGCCTACATATTTTTAAATGCATTTTTCGAAAGTTCAACCATATCTATTAATTACAGCTCGTTATGTAACATTGGCTCGAGAATCGTTCTTACAACTATGTCGAATGGTTTATAGTATTCTTAATTTATGTATAAGCGAGAATTTTTGTGAAAAATTAATAAAATTTGTAGCATATCGCGATGTACAACGCGTTCTCAAATCATCAGCATGCTGCTTGTTGAGAATGATTATAAAAATCGTAAAAATGTTACTACATAAAATCATAATATAGAGAAATAATAAATATTTGATTATTTATATTATTTTCTCATTATTTTCTTTCTCACTTATTTTTATTATTTATTTAATTATTTAAAATTACTCTATTTGTAATGGCTTCTTTATAGACCCTATCTCTTCTTTATGAAACAAATTTTTGTTTTAATTTTTATATCTGAAGGGGGGGGCTCAACTCTTCTAATTTTATATTACTTAATTAATAGTATATTACTATGTCAAAATTTTCATTATTACGTGTCACTCCTGTCAAGGAGACAGCCGGTGCTGCAGACAAGTCCGTCACTGGTATGTTGACACGTCGAGAGAAGAACAGCTGTTATAACCTGTTATAATTCCGATTGATGAAAGACATACGATTTCTGAAAGAAAGAAATTCATTAGATTTAGCAATATGCAGGTAAGCAGTGTTGCATTATTCGAAAATATTTATTTCATCGTAAAAACAACATAAATAAAAGAGATATTCAATCATATATATGTATATATACACGTGATACATTTTGGAATAAACATGTGATACTGTTTTGAAGTAAACATCTCGTTGGATTAACGATTTATAGCTACTTCAATATTTTTGTTGCATTATCTGCTAATTTATCTTCTGAATAATTCTTACTGCAAATAATCATCTAGGAACAAGATATTCCAATCGACATTAATACTGGAAAGTTATTGGACTGGTTAATTAATCGGAGGCATTGCAAAAAAGATTGGCATACAAATGTCTTGACAATCAGGGAGAAAATCAACAATGCAATACAGAATATGCCTGCCCATGATGGCATTGCATCATTGTTATCTGGCGCCTGTAATTCTTTTGTCAATTTAGCATCATCTTTTAACCCTTTACAAGCATATGGTTGTAGACAGTTTAATCTTTGTGCCCCTTTTACAGATATAAATTATTTTTATTGTGTCAAAATTGTGGAAATTTTGAAGGAGACGGAAGCAGACACAAAAAATTTATTTGGTCGTTATGGTTCGCAAAGAATGAAAGATTGGCAAGAGATTTTACGATTGTATGAAAGAGATAATGTATATCTTGCGGAAGCTGCACAAATGCTCATGAGAAATGTCAATTATGAGGTCCCCAGTATTAAGAAACAGATACAAAAGTTGGAGCAATCTCTGATTGTAAATATATTTATATATGTAATGTGTAATATTAATATTTATTTATTATCATTGTATAAATTTTGTGCATAAAATTGTATTTACAGGATTTGGAAAAAAAGGAAGCAGAATATAAAAAATCAGAAAATTTTGCTCATACAGAATATAATACATTGTGCAAACAATTAGGTATAACTGGCTACAGCACAGTTAGACATGAGTTAATGGAAAAAGTCAAGGAATTGCCAGAAATTTACCAAAGAGTAGCAGAGAAGACAAAGAATTTAAACAAGGTTGTCGAGTTTTATAGTGCATTTGTAGAGTTTACTTTTGGCCAGCAGTATGACAGTAATTGTGTGTCTGTAATTAAATATGTAATCGGTATGTTACAAAATTATTATTTCAAGAATGTATTAATGTTATTCAAATAAAAAGAGAAAATGTAGATACGATAGATTGTTAAACATGTTTTTTTACAGAGAAAGGAAACACAACAACGTTTGAATATACTTATGGAGAAGCACCATCATCTATAGTTGAACCACCATTAAATATTAAAGCTGATGAAGATGAAAGTAATGAAAAAACTAGTGTAAATGTTGACAGCAATGTATGAATATTTTTGTGTTCTTCAGTTGTTATGAGGATTAAATCTCAATCGCGTTATTTAAGAAAAACATTTTTAACAGACTATTGACTTTGGCAACTTGGATCTAAATCAAGAAATTGATTTTGGTGAAGAACTTAATTTAGATGGAGGAGAAAATATTGATTGGGGAGACGAAGATGCAGAACAACCTGTGGCAGAAATAGATCACAATGTCTTTTTGGAGGAATCGGGTATAGTTGTGGAAGCAGCAGGTCACGAAGGTGGTATAGCTATGGGATTTGAAGCATACACGATACTGGATAATCCAATAACAAGATCGGAATTTATCAATCAGCTGTTTGAGGTATAGTATATAGATATGTCATACATGTAAGATTGATTGTTACATTTTATCTAAGTAAAATGAATATTGTTGTAGCTGGAGGCGTTCTTGAAGTTACGTCTATATGAATTCAAAAGCGATGACAGGAACAACCTCCTGAGTTTTAGTCAGATGCAGGATGCTTCACCTATCCTGCAACTTTCCACCACAGAGACCACTCAGAATATGCTGGACAATGTCCAAGTTGTCCTTTCTGAGATATTACATAGTAATGTACAGCATTTGCATAACATCAAACATTATTCGAGGTATGTTTAACTGAATATAAATTTTTTTTTATAGATATATAATGTTCATATTTTCATTGCAGGTATGTGGATGTAGTGACTGCCGCTTTAAAGCAGAAATTAAATCTGATTGATAGAATGATAACTCAACAAGAATCTATGCGACAGAAGCAAGAAGACGCGCAAAATCAAATCGATAAATTGCGTTCGTTATTAAAACTCGTCATACAAAGAACTAAGGAGCTGCAAATAGAGGTATATTATCTTTGGTCTCTCGCAGTGCTACATCTTTTGGATGAAGTCTCATTTTTATATTATATCTAATTACAGATAGAACAAGATATTTCCAAGAGATACAAAAATAGAATGGTACATTTGTCCGGAGGTGTAAATATATTGTAGATGACAGACAATAGAATTGTTAAATTAAATGTTCAATGTAAATAATTTTTAAGTTAAAACAACACACGCGAGAGCAAATCGATTTTGCTATTATAAAACATAAGATGTAATTTTTTATACTGTTATAAACGCTTATTTCCTTAATATGTACGATGGAAATAATGATGGAAATAAATACTGCATTACTTTGATAACCATTATTGATTGTATATAACCTTTTTATCTTTAAGCGCAAAAGAACGTGTAATTATAAACGCTTATTTCCTTAATATGTACGATGGAAATAATGATGGAAATAAATACTGTATTACTTTGATAACCATTATTGATTGTATATAACCTTTCTATCTTTAAGCGCAAAAGAACGTGTAATTTTCAGAAATGATCAATATTTTCTTTGGTAATTGCAGTTATCTGCTTTTGATTTCATTAATTGGCTTTCCATATGATACGTATGTTATATAAATAATAAAAGTTATATTAAAACCAAATCTTACAAAGTAAAGTGAATTTATCGCATTTTTCAAATCGAATGATTTGCCTTTCGACCGTTGTGATTTATTTATATAATCATGAAGAGATTCTGCACGAGTCTCCAGGGTGACGAGGTACATACTGCTTTGGTGGTAGGGCAAGGATATTTTTTCAGACACTCGGCTAACGAGCGATCGCATTCGCACAAACGTTGAGCGCAAGATCCAGATCCTCCCCAGCTTCCATGTTCAACCGCTGTAACAAAGGTTTTACGCGCGGATTGTTTTATCTTATCGCGTCATGTTATTACATTATACGCATCGAAAATATAAATGAATCAAGTCGGTTGGAAGTATTGTATTGAAATTATTTTAATCTTACGAGAGAAGAATCGCAGAGAAAGAAAATAATAAATGAATGATAATCAATAAACGTACCGCAAACCGGTTTGTAACCGTGATAACATCTCCAGTAATACGGTACAAAGTATTCCGAGAACATTGGACACTCTGTAGCGTCGTAGCACCAATCGTGCATCTTGCAGCATCTGAAACATATTTTATTTCTACAGATCTATATATATTGTATATATATATTTGTGTTTTCTTTGTACATTTTTTTCTATATATAAATAAATAACGTACTGATCGATGCCGTCGATGACATAACCGGATCCTAAGAATCCGCAGTAGCAACCGTATCCCTTGTAAGCTAAAGGATTACATCCTGTGGCGCATACTACCATGTTATAGAGATGTAACACTCCTCTCTTGAATCTTGTATGGCCTATCGTCGTCGTCGTCTTCTTGTCCCTCGTTCTAGAACCGTGCACCGTCTTCATATCAGTTTGTTATCGGTTTCGTAACAAAATTTTCTATTGTGATTTGACATTTCTATTGCACTTACGTGATAGATCGAACCCTCGTGTTATTCAATTGCGACGATACGTGCACGTAGATATTTTTATTGTAATCATGCGTCGAGGAAGTGCTCCATGGATCACCGCTATGACCAACGTAAAGGTCGTCTCCCTGATTTCCTGCATCCTTCATATCATTATTCATATAATTGTAATCTGCTTGGCGAGTTCGTGCACCTCCAAGTATCTTATAAACATCTGGCGTACCGTTACCTGCAATTGCCGTAACCGCCGATAAACCAAATACATAGTGATCGCATACACAATAAGAATGCTATATACAGTTATAATCGTAATAATAAAATGATAGATATACAGTTATAGAGCGCTCTTGCCATATCTTATATATATATATTATTTTTATTTAATTTATTTATTCAAAATTTTTATTCTCAATGAGATGTTCAACGAATTAATTACTAACTACTAATATTATTATCTATCAATTAAAAACTATTAACTATCAATTAACTCTTAATTAATTACTACGATAAATACTTCTACATAAAGACTGTGTGTAATATATACTTTTCTAGAGATAAAAGTATAGAGTGTGTTATCAATGTCAATCTATTTTTAGTAATTGACATGATACGAATTCAAAAGTATTTGTATTTTTCGTTAAGTATTTAATGCGTAAAATGCGTTTTATGCGATGGTTTTTCTAAACGTCAGAAATCGTATTTTGCCTTGATCTAGACCCGCTTAGCGTAAAACTACTCTCATTTATCCCACTTCTGGTCTTCTTTTAACGGTTTTCTCGACAATCTTCCATAAATGCCGAGAAAATTGCATCCGACTTTCTGCCGAACGATCGCATAACGAAATGTCGGGCATATATATATTTTCCGATTTCACTTTTTAGATTATCCTTTCTACCAGTTCGACGAGATACACATACAATATATCTCCCGCAAATTTCACTGTGTTTTGAGATTATTTTAATGCGTAGCATAAATTCAGGAAAAAAAAGCAGAAATGTTTTTTTATATAATTAACTTGAAACCGATAACCTTGCATTCTTGAATTCTGATAAAAAAATTATATAAATGCATTTATCTTTTTATTGAAAAACAAAAAAACTTATCGCAATTTATTTAATAGCTATTTCATCACGTATTTGGACATACTTATGTAATCATTTTTACAGTTTCTCTTATTCTGGTAATATCGAAAATAATAAAGTCTCAGTATTGTATGGTATTCTCTATTTTTTAAAAGAGTATTCTTCAAGTTATATATGTAGAAAAAGAAATTATATTTATATTTATATTAATATTTATTTGTATAATTTCTTTATTCACAAAAAGATTATAAACAATTAAATAATTTTTCCACTTTTGTGATATTTATTAGAAAATAAGACTACCATATACACACACAATACTGAGGTTTAATTATCCTCGATATTATCAGAATAAGAGTAACTGTAAAAATGGTTACATATACGTAAGTATTTTTGTGTACATAGATATTATCATACACTTGAGAATTAAATTGTACCGAGGACGGAAGCAGTCAGCTGACTCTCTTTTGCTTCCCGTTCTTTCTTCGTCATAATGCAGTCAATTTCAACCAAACGATTTATTTTCCACGTGTGATTATTTCTCTCTGTGTTTCGTCTAATTCGAAAAAAATTATCAATATTTAAATTAACAATTCACTACTCTTCTGTGTTATTTTGGAACATATAATCGGAGCGTTTCGGTTCACAATGCATGGATACTTCGGGCATAAGAATAAGATACGCTTCCGCGTATACAGTGCAGAACTGTATATGTAATCCCCAATATCGAAGGATTTTTGCTACAAACATTTTAAAGTAACATTTACTTTCCCAGAATTTTACAGAAAAGATCAACATATTCTAATATGATAAGCGTACGTATGATGTTTTTTATACGATGCAATATTTGTGGATATTATATTTAAATATAATTTTATATACAAATATTGCGCGCAGTAAATATAAGCACATAAAAATGCGCGGTATGTCTGTAACTATGAATTATAATATTTAACTTTTAATTTCTTGACGTAGTTGCACAAATTGCTATTAATACTTGCAATCTCTCGTTGAAATTTGTAGTAGTACTTATTTTAATGAAATATTCTGCTAGCCTTTTCATCTTTTTACGCAAAAACTTCAGCAATTATTAAAGAGAAAGATAATGACCAGGTAGATACAGATTATTTCGGATGCATTGCAATAATATTATATAGAACGTTCCTAAAAATGAGGAGAAAATAGTGAATTTTTTAAATGTAAATATCACTGAAAAAAGAAGTTTATCTCTTTTATATAAGATAATATATTTTTAAATTTATTAATAACCAGGGTTATTTATTTGAAAATTATAGTGTCAACGCGATCACAGATTTAAAGTTGTTGCAACAACGCAAGGAAATTATAAAAGCAATAGATTGTTAGATAATTAAAAAGTTAATTAGCGGGCTAGGTGCGTAGAGAAACATTGTAGTGATCCAAGTTACTGTAACGAATTAACTGTACACACTTGTTACAGTCGACGTGCCTCGCGGAGGAAAAATCAGAGATTATACACCGTTTTATCATCATTTCTCTCTTGCGGTTGGAATTACTCAACGAAAAGTAAATTGAGATCGCGAAATTAAACGACGTGATCGAATCATAGCTTTTTAACGGCTCCATGGTAACAATCAACGACTGGCGTCATAATGCTTCGCAACGTTAATTAGTCTGACGCGGTAGTCTCTATAATCCACGTAATACAATTCCTTTTTACTCGCGGTTTCCATGGCACAGCCACGTAAAAATATAATACGTCGATTTCCTCCCTTGAAAGTAACGCGGACGTGGGCGAATGAAGGCAGCGTAAAAGTCGAGCTTCAATCGTTCATCAAACGTGATTCTATCGCAAACACCGGATTTTCCAAAACAGATTCAATTAATGGAAAATATCATGGAAAGTATCAAAAATCAATTGTCTAAAAATATAGATATAAAATAAATAAGTAAAATTTATTTCATATAAAATAAACATTGCTTTACGAAGAGATTTAACTTGCGAGAAACGTGCAAAGCTTGAATTTTCGAACGGTATAGAATAATCGGAGGAAAATAATTTTACATTTGAAGAAAATAACGCGAAAAGGATTCCGCTCATTATTCAAGCCGCTGTGTGTGGTAATTTTGGAGGTCTCATTAAACAAATTAATTATGTCTGCATTACTTTCCTTCGTCGCGGACAAAGTTATCTCGTCAGGTCGCTTGATCTGAATGGGCGTCTCATTGTCGTTGATGCTCATGTGAACCAACTTAATTAGAGATGTAGCTCACTACATTTTAGATCTGATATTCAATTGTGTATGCATTTTCCTAAGAAATCCGTCTGCGCAATTATTACTAACATTATTATGATAAAAAAATTGCATGAGTACATGATTAGAGCAATGGCTAAGTCACTGTTATTAATAAGAAGTGAGATAATGATGTAAAAATTTTCCACATCAGAAGAAGGGGCTAATTGTGTATGTTTCTCGCGCATATCGTGCGCTTTACATTGATGATCAAATAGAAACAGCGTAATAGTAAAAGTATCGGAAATTACGAAAATAAACCGAAAGAAAAGTATTAATAAAATTTACAGTTAGTAATACCACTTTTCATATACAATTTAATAAAATTTATACTTGCGTGCGTGCAATGTTATTTATACAATTTCCTTTTTATATATAAAAATTTTATTTACGATTTTGATATTTTTACGAAAGCGCAATAAGCGTGTTATTAATGAAACGTAGAAAAAAAGGCAAACATCGTATGAG